AGCAGCAGCTGCATCATTACCAGCAGCAGCTGCATCATCACCAGCAGCAGCTGCATCATCACCAGCAGCAGCTGCATCATCACCAGTAGCAGCACCTGCAGCACGACCACCACCACCATCCTCATCCCCAGCCTGCTCCAAAGCAGCCACGCCTTCTTCATCTACAGCGCCTCTGAAGCCCCAATCCTCACCCCAGCCTACAGCAGACAGGCCTGTGCTGGGGTTTCCTCAACCACCTGCCCCTCCATTAAAGACTCCCTCGCCACCTCCCATGGACCTGTCTTGGGTCCCCCCTGCCACGTCCACTCCATCAAGAGAGAATGGGGACACCTCCCTTTGTTTTTCATCCCCGCCTTCACTGTTAGACCTACCTGAACACTCTGCAGGGCTAATAAAATCGGCGATGAAGACTATTCCTCTCACACCCATATTAGCTCGATCTAGAGTCCTGTCCAACATTCTAAACCACTCCCCATATGTACCTCCAAAACCACCTAGGGTTTCCAATTCACCTACAAAAACCACCTCAGCCAGTCCCTCCCCTAACCTCATGACCATTCCACCCCCACTTCCCCCTCGTTCAACATCCAAAACCTCTGCCTCAGCCCACCCCGGCCCTAACCCATCACCTAAAACCCCTCCACCTCCCTGCCCCCCTCGTTCAACACCCAAAAGCCACCCACCTCTCCATCCTCCTCCCCCGCCTTCCCCTACCCCTCTTTTCTCTAAACACTAGGATGCACAGGGTCTCTGCTTCGCAGCCACTGGCAGTCTAGTTAGAGGAGAGACCCGGCTGGGGCCCTGTCATGAAGCCACCTGTGCCATTCCCTTAGTGATAACACAAAGAATACATTACAGAAAAACATCTGGAGTTAATCAGTCTAATCTGGAAAATCTAATTCTTGTTCCGTGTAAGAATCAGCCGACCGCAACCGCTGATACTGAAACTTTGAAACTTGCTACGCTTAATGTCAGATCTCTTTGTAACAAGTCTTTTTTAATCAATAATTTTATTTCTTCTCATAATCTTGATCTTATGTTCATGGTTGAAACTTGGCTTGACCAAAATTCAGAAAATGCAGTTTTAATAGAAGCATCACCACCAAATTTCAAGTTTGAATCTGAAATACGGGAAAACAAAAAAGGAGGAGGCTTAGCTGCCATTTTTAGAGACCACTTTGTCTCCCATAGAATGTCTCTTGGGAAGTTTTCGTCATTTGAATATGTGTCTTTTAAAATACAACAAAAACAATCTCCTCCAATACTCTTCGTTGTCCTATACAAGCCACCGCAGTCATGTCACAGTTTTATTGATCATTTTACCGAGTTGCTTTCAGTTGTATGCACAGATTTTGATAGTTTGGTTATTACAGGTGATTTTAATATTCATGTGGATAATGTTGATGACATAAATGCAAATGAGCTGAGTTCTGTACTTGAATCCTTTGATCTCACTCAGCACGTAAGTGGCCCCACCCACAGCAGAGGGCACACTCTAGATCTGTTAGTTACAAAGGGGGTGATTATTTCAAATGTAAACGTGGTCGATGTTGCTCTTTCGGATCATTTCTGTGTTTTTTTTGACATGTGTTTCACTAACAAACCACCAGTGGACTCTGCAACTGTTCGAAGAAGGCGCATAAATGAAAATACGAGTGAACTATTTATGGAAATGATAAACTTTGAGAATGCATCGTATTCTACTGTAGATGAACTGTTTAACTCTGTCACCTCTAGTGTTTTGAATGTTCTGGATACCGTTGCCCCTGTGAAGGTTAAAATAGTGAAAAATAAGCAGAAGGCGCCGTGGGCTAAAGCAGACTCGGTCAGGGCACAAAAGAGAAAGTGCCGGAGGGCCGAGCGGAAGTGGCGCAAGTCCAACCTCCAGGTAGATTACGAGATCTTCAAAGATAAGTTGTGCGAGTTTAACCGGGTGCTACGTAGTACGAGAGAAAGGTATTTTTCTGAAATGATTGAAGGCTGCAGCAACAATCTGCGTGTTCTGTTCTCAACAGTTAATAGATTAACAAACCCCCTGTTCAAATGCCATTAGAGCTTACTTCCAAACGTAAATGCAATGAGTTTGCTAATTTTTTCAATGACAAGGTTCAAGGCATCAAAAGCGCCATTGTCTCCAATCCACAGATAACCATCCAACAGCCAGAAAGGCTCTCTGAGCTAACTCACTTTGCACCTGTAAATGATAAAACTGTCCAAGAGATAATCTCCAGTTTGAGCTCCTCCACATGCAGCCTGGATGTACTACCCACTAGATTTCTGAAGTCTGTTCTGAGCAGTCTGTTACCTTCACTCACACAGATAGTAAACATGTCCCTTCATTCTGGAATATTCCCAAAGGCCCTGAAAACTGCAGTCATCAGGCCCCTGCTAAAAAAGAGCAGTCTCGATGCTACGGTACTTAACAACTATCGTCCCATCTTAAATCTGCCATTTATGGGGAAAGTCCTTGAGAAAGTTGTCTACCTACAGCTTACTAGATTTCTTATAATCAACAACTCATTTGATATGTTTCAGTCCGGCTTTAGACCCCACCACAGCACTGAGACTGCTCTCGTTAAGGTTACAAACGATATCCGGCTGAACACTGACGCAGGCAAAGTCTCAATCTTAATCTTGTTAGATCTAAGTGCTGCCTTTGACACCGTCGACCATGAGATCCTCTTACAGAGACTAGAGGACTGGGTTGGCGTCACTGGCACCGCCCTAAGTTGGTTTAGGTCTTACCTCGAAGACAGGAAGTACTTTGTGGAGATTGGAAACTGTGTCTCAGATCATATGGCCCTGACCTGTGGAGTCCCACAGGGGTCGATCCTGGGACCTCTTCTGTTCAATCTCTACATGCTGCCGTTAGGTCAGTTAATACGCAGAAACAAAGTTTCCTATCATAACTATGCAGACGACACTCAGATCTATGTCTCACTGACTGCAGGAGAACATGGACCAGTGGACTCACTCCTTCACTGTATCCAACAGATCAGTGAGTGGATGCAAAACAACTTCCTTCAGCTAAACGCAGACAAAACTGAAATGATTGTCTTTGGTCCCCAGAAACAAAGAGAGAGCGTCATCTGTCACCTACAGTCTCTCTCCCTAAAACCTTCAAACAAGGTCAGAAATCTAGGGGTAATACTGGACTCAGACTTAAATTTTAATAGCCACATCAAATCAGTAACATCAGCAGCTTTTTACCATCTAAAAAACATTGCCAGGATCAAAAACATAGTGTCTAAAGCAGACCTGGAGATTCTTATCCATGCATTTGTCTCCAGTAGGTTAGACTACTGCAATGGCCTGCTCACAGGTCTGTCCAAACAGGCTGTAAAACAGCTGCAGTACATTCAAAATGCAGCAGCTCGAGTCCTGACAAGAACCAGGAAGTACGACCACATTAGTCCAGTCCTCAGGTCTCTGCACTGGCTTCCTGTGGCTCAGAGAATAGACTTTAAAACAGCTCTGCTTGTGTACAAGTCTCTCCATGGCCTCGCACCAAAATATATTAGTGACATGTTAGTCCCATATGAACCAGCCCGGACTCTGAGGAGCACAGGGACTGGACTCCTGTTAGTGCCCAGAGTCAGAACTAAACATGGGGAGGCTGGTTTTCAGATTCATGCTGCTAAAATCTGGAACAGTCTTCCTGAAGATGTGAGACAGGCCTCCTCTCTGACAATGTTTAAAACCAGGTTAAAGACGGTTCTGTTTAACTGTACATACAACTGAGGGATTTTATATTTTTATCTTTCTTTTTAATGTTCTGTGATAATTTATGATTTTAATGCTTTCTTGTTTTGTTCAGCACTTTGAATTGCCTTGTGTATGAATTGTGCTATATAAATAAACTTGCCTTGCCTTTACATTGAGATTGCATCTTGTTTATGTATTCAGCTCACGTGCCTTTTCACACTTCTTTTCACACAGCTCTTCCTCCTGCTGTGTGATGTCATCCTGGGAATGTGTTATAAATACAGCTTCATCTCTGCACTAGCTGCCACTAAGAACTCCAAATCTTAGATACTTTCTCAAACTAGTTTTGTTCCCTTTACTGTTATATATATCATTGGTTGTCGGCCATAACTGCAAACATCGGCATTTAGTCTTTTTCAGACAATCCTTAATTTTCTTGTGTCCCTATCTATTTGTCTATCTGTGAAGCTACTTGTATGTCTACCTGTGCCAAGCCCCGGTGATCCAAGATGCGCCCTATTCAAATGAATGGCTTGTGCTCAGTAGCGCATGGGACTTCACGGAGACCGGGAGATTAGCAAAACTCGCCTATATTTAGGCATTGTCTGCTCCTCCCGGTTCTGCGCAGTGGACGAGCTCCCATGATGCATTGCGCCAAATACGCGTGTGTGGCTCTAATGCACGTGCACAGAGGGGCTTGGCCAATCAACGCTGCTGATCAGAGCAGCAGCAGAGCGGGAAGGAAATGAGCAGAGTTTGTGGCATTAAAGTATGGGTTTAAAGAAAACCGAAGGATTTAAGAACAAAAAGGATGACAAGGGACATCCCCACAAAATCCGATCTTTGTGAAAGCTATAGGTTGTCTGTCAGCTGAGGTCGAGCTGTTTTAATTTACATTGAGTTCTATGGGACTTTTTTCTGGGTACCCCACGTGAATTTAGTCTGCAGTACCACGGGCGCCCCCTGTGCCCATGGGTGGGACAGCTATAAGCTAGTAATACCCTATCCAGTTATTATTATAGATCATTAGGCTATAATAATATTATAGTTATTATTATAGCCTGTGCCCGTATGTCTACCTGGATGTCTACTTGTATGTCTATATGTATCATTGATGAAGGTTTGAATGTCCTTTTTATCTTTGCAAATAAAGAATGAAAAAAAAGGAAGAAAAAATAAGAAAGTCCTTAATTTCTGCTTTCTTTTTAACCTCAATGTTAAAAGAATATTTCATCACATCTGTGGACAATCCTCACGCTGTGCATCGTTTTTATATTGTAGTGTTTCATGCATCTATGAAAGCTACTGTACGAGAGGTTTGTTTGTGGATTTGATATTTAGCTCTACAAGAGGTTTATATCCTTTGTAATTGTGTAATTTAGCAGCAGAGTTCTGCAGGGAATAATGACTCATCTCCCTCGCGGCGAGCGGCAAAATAAACAGGACACAAGTGCAGATCCTACAGCTTCACAGCAGAAACATAGTGATTAGTTTTCAAGTTTATTCTTTTATACAAGCAATTTGCTCGTAATATTATTGCATTTACTTTTAAAGAAAACGTCTAAAACAAAATCAAACATCTACAGACCTGGAGTTGTTCTTTGTTCTATTCTCACTATTGTGCAAAACCTCAGGCACAAATGCGTTCCTCCCTTCCCCTTGGAAATGCCTCCATCCCAAACTTGATTGATGTCCTATGTTTTTACTGCAACATTTTTATATCTTCTGTTTTATTCAAGGTGTGATTCAGGCAGCTTGAGAAGATAATGTAATTACCAATTGTTACCACTGGAGGGAGGTGTTTCATAATATCACCATTTTTTATCCGTTATACATATATTTTCTACCAAAGAACTTATTTCACTTGCTTACACACAAATTGCCATAGTTGGTGCATTTCATTATAGCAAAAAAAAAAATGGTTTGATTATCATTTTCAAATCCAATTCACTGGAATGGAACGATTTGGGATAATTGGGAAATTAGAAAGTATTTGACTTCTTAAATGAAACACAACAACTGGAAAACCTTCGTACAATATCCAGCAATGGCCTGGCAAACATCACAACACCTACTTTACAGGTGTCAAAGTTGTGCTGGTTAAACTGTCGAGGAATGAAGACAGAGGCATCACCTGTAACCCGAGACAAAGCTTTTTATAGGATGTGAATTGATGTGCAAAAGAACAATTATTATTTCCCTTCATTTACGTCTGGGTCTGATCTTTGTGGCTGCGGTTACCTCGGTCAAGAGTTTGCGCCGAAGTAGTTTGGCAATGACGGCGAATGCGATAGTAAAGTAATTCGTTCTAGTTCAGCTCCAAATATCAAGAAATTGAAGCCAGAGCCAGAGGAATGTTTAGCAAATGTCATTGCTGGCAAAGATGTTGTGGCTCCACTCCCCACAGGCTCTGCTAGTGGCAAAGGAGATGCTAAAGCTAGGCTAAAAGGCCTCACTTACTATATGGCGCTTTACATACGGCAAACTCAGATCCAATCGTTTCAATCTGCAAAAGGAGTTAACCTCTCCCATCTGTTAACAGAGTTCAATGGAACCAATGCATTTCTTTGTATGAAATGAAATTAGTATGATGGTGTGGTAAGACCAGCACTGGCTAGCAGTAATGAAGATATAACAGAGGTCCAGAGTCCAAAAAATGCAGGTCAGAATCCACAAAACAAGCTCATATCTTCAGCTCCTTTCCCTCCCAGTAAAAAAGGCAAAAAAACTCCAAGTCTGCAATTTTTGATTTAGTTAATTTTTAATTTGTGCAAAAGCCACGTATATAATAATGAAACATGTTTTTATGAGCTCCTGTTTATAGTGTGACCCTTGTAATAATATGCACAATTTACTATCAGTGGTTTTGAATAATGCAAATCCAATGGAAAGTATATTCTCGCTGCTATTTATAATCACTTTAGCATGCAGATCGGATCCCATCAGCGGTGGTAAAAAGTAGTGTAGTGTGGCTCAGCATGCCATCACAGGCTCAGAGTCATTACTGCTCTTCAGCCATATTTTTTTGTCTATTTTGGGAGCCATATGAAACTCATTTGAACATTTGTCTTTGTGGATGATGCAGTGCAGTGAATCTGACACCTCCAGTGGTGCCAGACGCTTAAATCTTCTGTTCAACAATAGCACAGCGCTCACTCCATCTCTCTCTGTTCCAGTCTCACGAGAAATACTATAGAAGAAGAAGGAATAAGTATCGAAATGCACTTTTTTATTGTTGTGAGATTTGTGATTAAGGCTTAGGATTCAAACATGTGTAAACGTGTCTGATAGATTTGCAGCTTTCACAGCGGTCAGAAGATGCAATCAGGGGTTCTATGTTTTTCATTTAATTTCATTTCATTTCATTTCATTTTCAACCCCTTTGTCCATTTCTGGGTCCGGGGGGTGGCAATGAAAGCTGCCACGCAACGCTCATTCAATCTGGAGAGACTTTGAGGAGACAAAATGCATTTGAAGTTTTTTATTGAAAGGTAGTTTGGCGCCCTAGGCCCCGGTGCGGCGTTCAGTCAGCGAGGCTCCTGCGAGAGTGCGCGCACAATCCCCCGGGACCTCGGCACTGGTGGCGGCATTCGGCAGCAGGAAGAGGCATGATTGAGGCAGGGTGAGAAAAGGGAGGAGGAGGGGAGGCGGTGGTTTGCAAGGCTTCGAGAAGGCCGTAAAGTGGGAGTTTCTCCGCTTTTAAGCGGCTGGCCTGGCCGGCATAGGTTGGTTGGAAATGGGCGTTTGCTGTGCGATAGGCTGGGGATGCGAGGCCGGCCTGGAAGGGGTGGCTTTGCTGACGTCTTCCAGAATTGAATTTCCGCGAGGCTGCATTAGCACCAGTCCCTGTTCTATGTTCTATGTTATGTATTTTATTTGCGTAGGGCCCTATTCACCAATAGATTCTGATAATTAATATGTAGTTGACTTTCACATTAAACTTATGAATGTCACGTATCGTATGTTTGCTTGTGAGGACTGTAATGGACCAAAGAAACTCTTGGTCGACAAACGAAAGTCCTCTCGACAGATCGGTCGACTAAAAAGGGGCGTGTCAAATTCTCTGATTATTATTGCGTATCCAAGACATAATAAACTCACAAAAAATACATGAAAAACAACAATTCAGAAACAGAATTACTGAAAAATCACTATTTCCTTGAACAATGTATTATTATGAGTAGGATCTTTGAATATCAAATTAATTTTAAGCTTTCCCTTTGTGATTTGGTTTAAACAATAATGCATGTTTTTTGCATTTTCATTTGCATTTCCAGGGGCAGACTGACAGAAGCATAGTGTGTGAGTGAAGCACAGATATCCTTCACTCACACAGCAGACTCATTCTAGGCAATGTGGGTGAAGTGTCTTGCCTGAGGACACAACAACAGTTTGGCATTTCACAGCCGCCCCACTGTGGCACCTGGGATTAGTCCAAGCTATGAAATAATTCAACGACCAAACAAAGAAAGTTTCATAACACACCTCCATCATGTGTTTTCCCGTTTTCCCGTTTGACCTTTCAGACTTCAGAATATGACAGTTATGATAAATGCTGTCATATTCTGAGGAGCTGAGGTCACTGTGTAATTATCAGTGTCTTGCATAACCTCGACTGCTCCTCAAAATGCATAAAAACATAAAAATACCTAAATCAATAGATCTTTGGACGCTCTAATTGTGTCTCTATTATTAATGAGTGAAAGCAGGAGCAGTGTGATGTTGGGAGAAGCCCGCTAAGCCTGAGGAGAAGTGTAACAGCAGCTCCAGGTAACAGGAGCGGCTCAGAGTGAAGATCCCAGAGGGAGCACCAGACCACAACCACATCAGCGGGAATCCTCGCAAGGCAGCTGAAATGTGATCTTTGTTGTTATGAAAGGAAATACACGTTTTAGAGCGACACAAAATCAATATTACTGACTGACTGTAGTGCAAGAGAACAACTTTGAAAGAGCTTCAAAAAACTGCATAAAATGGAATAAAAATGAGTCAGACTTAATAATCCTGACTAAGCCGGTGTAAGGAAGCCCTGGCAGTGGAGACAGTAGCTGGATAAGAGCACAGACTGGGAAACATGCATAATGCATGGCAGTCAAATCTCTCTGGGTAAAGTACACACAAAGCTCAAACGCAGCCCGCCTTTCACATTTGCATCACTTATTGTTCACGGTTATACCAAGCTCAAGTTTACAACTGAGGAGTGTGTCGGCTTTTCACTGTCAGATACAAAGGACGAAGCTTTTCTCCATGTATCAGGATTGGAGCTGATGTACAGAGCATCAGGCTTAAACTATTATGTCTCTGCAATCCAGTCTTCACACACTGACGGCTGAGCATCTCTGCCTCGCTCATAGTTCACCCTCCCACTCTCCCACAACAGCCCTTTTCTGACCTTTCGAGGCAAAACTACAGTTGCCAAAGTATACAGTGTCTGCCACGCTTATCTTGAACTGTGAGTGAAGCTGCATAATGATGTGAACGCCTGCAGTACAATAAAAGCTCTATTTTTGGAGGTGGACTTGATTTGATTTCTTGATTTCTAGAAAAAAAAGAGGTCTCAATTGCTGCCAGGTTCTCTCCCTGTCTCTCTGTCTCTCTCACACACACTATCTGATCGGCAATTTCATCCAGTTTAACAAAACATTTCTGTCAATATTTGTAGATTCCCCCATCACCTTACTGCGTGTTTCTTGTATTATATTCTTAGTGGACGACAATGCAGCATATTTATATTGGATTACACTCAGGAAAACTGAACCATTAGCTTATTATTTTCAAACAGTCATGATGTAAGAGAGAAGTCAATTGTTATTACCTCCACTACCACGTTGACATCGACTACAGCGTTTATTCCCATTGTGGTGTATTGTATGTAAACAGAAAGCACTTACCTCTGTTTGGTCGATAACCGCCTATCGTCTGCGAAACCTTTCAAAACCATTTCTTAATGACAGGGTTTATTGTTTTATGGGATTGCTGCCATCTAAGAAAATTGTCCACCTTCATAGAAATCGATGAGACGGCAGAGGACCGGGGGACTAGCGCACTTTATATGAATTCACTTTTGGTGCGGACTATGTTTGGATGTGTTCTTTGATGCCTTTCGTTTTTTGCCCGATGGCTTGAAAGAGGCACACTAGCCCATTACTGCTGAGCTTAGGGAATTACCTCTGCACTGGGAAAACTAGACACATAAAAGAGTATTATTTTCCCCCTTCAAAGCCGGCGTAAACTAAGAATGCAATAATAGAAGAAGCAGGCCAATTTCAACCATTTATTTATATATATAACATTGATAGAATGTCACAGTTGCTACCACTAGAGGTATGAACAGTAAATTAACTATTGATTAAATCTTTAATTTGTTTTCTGTCCAGGTTTTTTCTCTACTTCACTAGTAACTATCTACTTTCTTTTTTCTTCATTCTCTCCTCCCCTTTGTACAACTCTACCCCTCCCCTCTGCAGGTAGCCTTGGGTCAAGAAGAAGACGCATCCAACTCCAAGACTTCGTCGGACGATTCTTCCAAAACTGTGGGCCTTTTGACTGGACAGACGCCCTTGTCTCCTCTCAGCCGCTGGATGCTGCACAGCAAAAGCCGGGCGGCAAACACCACGTCCCTGGAGCTGCCGTATCGCTCCCCAATGCCCTTCTCGAAGCAGGAATTTTCCAAACAAGAATTCTGGGAGATGCTTGGTAGCGATCTCCTAAAGCCCGACGCCTCGAGCTCAAGAGTGAAGCGAAGGCCTATTGTCAAAACAGGCAAATTTAAGAAGATGTTTGGATGGGGGGACTTCTACTCCAACATCAAAACCGTTCGGCTGAATCTGCTCATCACCGGGAAGATCGTAGACCACGGCAACGGCACGTTCAGCGTCTACTTTCGCCACAACTCCACCGGCCAGGGCAACATCTCGGTGAGCTTGGTGCCTCCGGTTAAAGCCGTGGAGTTCGACTTGGAGCGGCAGAGCGTGGTCTACCCCAAGGACTCCAAAATCTTCAACTGCCGGGTGGACTATGAGAAGGTCGACCGCAGCAAGAGAACCTCGCTGTGCAACTACGACCCGTCCAAGACCTGCTTCCAAGAGCAAATCCAGAGCCACGTATCCTGGATTTGTTCAAAGCCTTTCAAAGTCATCTGTATCTATATTTCATTCTACAGCACGGACTACCGCCTGGTTCAAAAGGTCTGTCCCGATTACAACTACCATAACGAGATGCCGTACCTGCCGTCGGGCTAACATGAAGCTGGCAGAGAAATGAGGGGAGGAGGAGAGGTGGGGAGGGGAGAGACTACAGCGGAGACTACGGCCCTCTTTGTAGCCTGACTTGGAAAAAAATAACATATATGCAAAACAGCACATCGAGTATGCAGATAATGAGGTATGTGAATGCTTGGTGCGGCATTCATTAACTGGACTCGGGAGCAAAATCAAACACTTCTTACCTCAATTCTGTTTCCAAAATGACAACTCCTCGCCAACTAAGTCCAAACGCATTCGAGTCCTTTGTGAATGTCGGAGAGAATGTCCTTTTAATACTTCCTCGCGACTCACCCCCTATGTCCAAGTCGCTACAGGCAGCAATTTCCATGTCCGGTATCTATAAATTATCTGTCTGCTCATGTAAATTACCTATACGCAACTGCATTTTCTCTGAGAGCCTTTGACCGAGTATATTCATGCTGCAACAAAAGGTATCATAATTAAACCATACCTATAGGGGTAATTATACAAAACTAACAGCGGTGGAAAACAAACAAAAAAACGATTTGGAATGTGGAAAATGTACTTCTCTGAGGCATAGTGATGATGGGGTTTCTGCTTGATACGTCAGTGGGGGGAATATGTGGGTATTTTATCCGTCAAATTTGTGTGTGGATCGGGGAATACGATTTGAAATACTGTTCAGTGGGGTCCAGATTAAATAATTATGAGAAATGCCCGAGGGGTGGACATCGAGGCAAGGCAAGTATTTGTATAGCACAAGTGGTACATGAGGCAGTTCAAAGCATTTTATTAAACCGGAAAAATTATCATTGCAATAATCCCAAAACAAACACTAAAAGTATGTATCTCTCAAATCAGGGTGCAATTAAAATCTTGTAACCACTGTTTTAACCTGGATTTGAACAGTGCATAAAAGTGTGGCTCACAAAATTCAAAGGGGACATACCCTAAAAATCTACTTTTCTCAGCTATCGGCCATGTTTTCTCTTGTATGATCGCAGGGCTGTTATCAGTTAAATTCATGCATGTTTTAGTTATTCAAATCCTCATTTAAGCACTCCGCCATTGCTCTCCCCTCAGTCCTCTGACTGCCTAACACCTTCACATGTTTTTGTTACTTTGTTCAGCAATTTTATTTTTTGAGTCTGTGATGTGTGAAGGAGTTTTTGCTCAAAAGAAAAAAATTCAATCAGTACTGAGGAGGAGATGAGCATTATCCGGATGCTCCAACAAAAGGGCGGGGCTATGTGGCACAGGTATCAGAACACACCAAGTTAATTCTGATTCTATTCTTCATTCCAAGAGATAATCAAACTTGAAATATACAAAACATGTATCTTTCCACCTAAAGTAGTTTGTGCATCCTGTAAACAAGATGGATGTACTTTAAAACCTTATACATATTGCTGCCATATTTGCTAGCTACTATCTCAAACACATTCAGAAAATAGGCCTGTAATGCAACTTCAAAATGGGAAAAAATGGGTAAAAAACTCACATACAGCACATACATTTCACATACAGCAAGTAACTCATAATTGTGCCTCAAATGGGAAAAAAACAGCAGCAAATGACCAGCAGAACTTTTTTTCCATTTCCATAAAAAATGAATAGCTCGACTGAGAGTTAGGGCCAGGGATGACACTTATAAAACAAGGATTTCTAGAACTCCAGTCTAGAAATGGAAATGAGAGCAGTCATTTTGACGGCTCCCATTCAAATGAATGGATTTCCAAAAAAATCTCTCCCATAAAGTACTGAATTTTTCACAGATTTTATTAACAGTCCATGCTCACTTTATTAGGCCTGCTAAAACTGGTTATAATAAAGGAAATACAGCAAAACTAAATACTAACCGATGCAGGTAAACAGTGTGTTGCTATGGTGACTAGCAAGACACTGAACCAGCCTAGGATCAGTCCACATACAGTAAACCATAAAACATAAAACTAAACAACTTTTAGATCCAGAAAAAAGTGGTTTTGAAGACCAGACGTTCATAAGCAGAGTAATCCCACCTCCAAAACAAAAAAGCCGTCAAATTGACTGCTGTGGGATTTCTAGTGTTACATAGATAGTGCATATATGCAATAGTTTTGCATTTGGCCCCTTTTGGAAAGTCAGTGCATGAGCTCATTTAATTAAAACAGCGTGGAGTATGCAATATGCCTATTGTCCCCTCTGTGTGAAAAAGATTACATTTTGTTGCCGAGAAGATTTCTTGATTTCACGCCTTGATAAATCCGACTGTACCGGGAGGTTGTTCTTCTTCTACTGACTGATGCGTGCTGGGTAAAAAACCATCCTGTTATCTTGAATAAATGAAAATATTATCACAGTAATTACATCCAATTTAATCTCCTTTTGAAGTAATTAAGCTTTCGACTGGAGGGCAGAATGGATTCCTAAAAATGGAACCGCTGTGGATTATAAGGGATAAGGGGGAGATAGCAGTGCAGCGAAGAGTAAGCTAACAGCGCTCATTAAGATAAGACAGGACGTGGCAGAGAGACAAACAGTGCAAGTGTGCGGGACAATGTGTTAGCCGTGAGTTAGCTTGACATTCTGCGAGCTGTGAGGTTATGAAGACGCTACAGTGCCTGGATCATTAGCGTGGAGGAGTCACAGGACAGGTGCTATCGGAACAGAGAGACGCCATAAGCTGCTTGGTTGAGAGAATAATAATCGAACACACGGATGATTACAGTGGAAGATACGGCAGGAGTTAAAGCTGGGCTACTTCACTTTATGCGTTCATAAAGAGTCTTGTAAAATGTCAAGCGAATCAGGTCACAGCGTGTTGCGTATTTGTAGAAAGAGCCCTGTCTGTCGCTGTTTGATGCTTTGGGCTGAGAGGTGATTGGCTGATAATAATAATAATACATTTACTCATAATGCACCTTTCATTTCCACAAAGCCTCAAAGGGCAAAAAATTTTAACTCAATACAAAAAGTTACAAAAAAGATATGTTAAGAAAAAAATAAAGATGTGACAGAGGCCAAAGAGTATATGGACATTTTTGATATAATTATACTGTTGGGTTGGATGGTTTCATAGTTAGGTGTCCCAGCTGTAAGAATAAGGACGTGTTTTTCAGTTAAAACTATCAAAGGAAAAAGAGAAGATTTTTTTTGATTAGCCTATTCAGATGTAGCCTGGCTTTAGCCATCCCCAAACTGCGGTCAATTATTATTTCCCTACATGTACAAACTGACGATAGTTAGGAAGAAAATATTGCTTGTTCAGTATATTTAATCTTTAATCTCAATTGATTGTAAACCAAACATGATTATTGGCATCAAAAAAAAGTATTTATGGCATACAATAAAAAATTGTGCCTAGATATCTATTGTATCAAATATTAAAAACATCTGCAGGTTAACATTTGACCGTGGTGTTGTTTCAGGTGAAAGAGGAAAGAGAATTGGACAGAAAGAAAAATTACCTAATATTCTCTCTGACATTTGTTATGCCTTTATCTCTATTTCTTATAACAATGGAAAGAAGTAGAGTCGCCTGTAATGTCGCAAACACTCTCGTATCTCAGTGTACTGTACCATACCATGCCTGTACTCAAAGGGCTTTAAGGAAAACATTCACATTGCACATTATGACAGCTCTCTCACTGAGACCAGACTCAGAGGAGCAGCGAGGAGGAGGAGGATGGCACTGACACTCCACTAAAGTTAGCAGCAAACACCTGCACATCTGCACATCAAAGCTGCAGTTTTAATGACTGTTAAAGAGGGAAGTCTCACCTGGAGACTGCACCACAGAGAGTGGCAAACCTGAGACAATGACATGGAAGTGTCACAACTTGGAAATCAAATCCTCAAATCAACAGCCCAACAGTTGCCAATAACAACGTGTTTCAGAGTAGTTCAGACGAGGATGGATCAGGGCCTCATACGTGCTTTTTATATCTGTGAGGATAACAGGTCAAACAAGACTGCATGTTTTGATATATAATTTGTGTTTACACTGCAAATAGTGATGGACAACAAGTTGCCTTAAAACAATATTTGCCAATGGGACAGGCAAAATGGTCTCGTTTTTTCAAAAGATACAAGAAATATCTTCCTTGGAATGAGAAAATAAAGCAACAGTTCTTGAAATAAGACTAAACGGCTTGTTCCATTGGAGAATCTTGTTTTAACACACTCTACTCAAATTAAGATAAAAAAAAACTCTTGATTCAAGCAATTATTAGCTCATATTTAATAATTTTTTGCAGTGTTCACATAGGGGGCGGATGACCAATTTTCTTAAATGTCCAAGAATTACCTCAAATTATAATACTTAGTTATATTTTTGTGGTTTTGATGGTACCCCAGCATTAATCATCGCCCTACATCCAATAAGTGAGTAAGTGTTTATCAAATTTAAGGCTAGGCAAGTTTAATTGTATAGCACAATTCAAACACAAGGCAAATTAAAGGGCTGAACAAAGCAAGATACAGACAATTGATTAGAAAAATTGAGGACATGAGTCAATCATAATCATAGACAATCATTAAAACATAACTCGCTCTCTCTCTCTCTCTCTCTCTCTGTCTCTATCTCTCTCTCTGTCTGTCTCTCTCTCTCTCTCTCTCTGTCTCTCTCTCTCTGTCCCTCTCTCTCTCTCTCTCTCTCCCTCTCCCTCTCCCCCCCTCTCTCTCATGCACATATACATAGTCATTTCTATGCTATCATTTCGCAGAGGACACATAGTTCTGCACGCTGCCATAAGTAATCTCCATTGTTGAAGTGTGCGGGGCCAATTTCTCATGAGCTCCGGCCCTGGCTGCGTCGGCGTGCCATATAACGAAAACCCTCTCTTATTCCGCCAGACTCTGCCTCTTCTTGTGGAGGATGCTTCGGCCTGAGCTGAGAGCCTCCTTCACCAGCCCACATACACTACCTACTTCTCCAGTTCAAACAGAGAGAGAGACATTGCGCCCCGGTAACAGGACTGTGCTGTTCCCGCATGTCACAGCACTAGTAACGCACTTGTGATGTCAAAGTACAC